ATTGTTGTTCTAAAATATGTATGCCTAAAGTTAAGTTTGTATCTGAAATTATATACGGTATCTGGTTTTATAAATAGCATTAATAATTTGTGTGGTAATAATTTCCTATGCACTTTAAACATGAATGTCGCTGCATATAGCTGAATTAAATCTTTAAATTTTAGTATTTTAGAATATATAAATAACGGATTAGTGTGGTCTCTAAATCTAACATTGTGAACGACTCTCAGGGCTCTTTTCTGTATGATAGACAAGGGTACAATAGATGTTTTATAAGTGTTACCCCATACCTCTACACAGTAAATAAGATAGGGATAAATCAATGAATAATAAAGGACATGGAGTGATTTATAATCCAAGTACTGCCGAGCTTTATTCATAATGTAGATGCTTCTCGCAACCTTATTATATACATGTTTAATTTGTGGTTTCCAACTTAATTTATTATCAATTACTATTCCAAGGAACTTATGTTCTGTTACTTGCTCAATTTCACATCCATCTATTTGCAGCTTAACCTCAGTTTTATTAGCCATACCAAACAACATACATTTTGTTTTTGCTATATTTAATGTAAGCTTATTTTCAATAAACCACTCTTTAATTACGCACATTTCAATTTGGACCATCCTTTCTAACTCGCTAATATTATCTCCTGCACAGAAAATAGTGGTATCATCGGCAAACAAAACAAATGTCAGTGTATTTGTTACATTACTCAAATCATTAATATATAATAAAAATAATTTTGGACCCAACACAGACCCCTGTGGTACTCCACAAACAATGTCCAACCATGTAGATGAACATTCTCCAAATTTCACAAACTGTCTCCTCTGTTGTAGATAGCTTGTCAACCAGCTCAACACTACACCCCTAATCCCATACCTCTCTACCTTTTCAAGTAACATTTTATGATTAACTGTATCAAAAGCCTTTTTTAAATCAATAAATATCCCTAGAACATGTTTCTTCTGATCAATTGACGTTGCAATTTCTTCCACAGAATGCACCAGAGCTAGTGATGTTGAACTATTCGGTCTAAATCCATACTGACAGTCTGAAATTATCTTGTATTTATCCAAAAATATTTCGAGTCGATTATTAAACAATTTTTCAAGAACCTTGGAAAATTGTGGAAGCAATGAAATCATATTTAAAATCATAAAACAGCCATCTCTACTGATCGTAACCTGATGGAGCCAATTTTGATTCACCTAAAGAATAAAACATCCCTTTGAGAGCCAGCAGCAGCCCTCCATCACCACTTCATCTGTTGAACTGTAGGAAGCACCTCCACCTTCCACATTCTCACTGCTGATTGAAAATGTAAAGCCAGACTCCCCGTACTGCTAAGATGATCTTTGGTCCTTTTAAGGTGTTGATTAAACCATAAAAAAGACATTTTCTGTGGTTCAATCACGCAGGAACATGATTAACACGTTGCAATGGATGCGGGGTGATATAAACAACAATCAGATGCTCTCGATGGACCCGAAGTGCTCTGAGGTGATGATATTTGCTCAAGTGGCTTTTGCATTGGGGAAATTACTTGGTTTATGACTGACGACAGGGTTTTCTAATAGAAAAAGTCTCATTTCAGGGTTTTATCATTTAAATGTTGAACAGACGAAGTCAGGGTTTGAATGTACACTTATATCATAAGGTTTTGCATTTAGTGGTAAATGATTTGCAGCTTTATTATTTGCCTTTGTCATCCCTTGCAGCATAAAGCTACATTATTCACTCCCTCACACACATGAATTCCATGATTTTTCTTTCTACAGTGACTGAATACTGACTAAAACAGAAGCTCCAGCAGAGAGGAGTCCACTTTGAAGTTCAGTGTCTTGTCTGAGCACAGTTTGATGTTTGAACTTGAGAAGCTGGGAATCGAACAGTGGGCTGAAAGCCAACAAAGTCCTCCGCCTGCTTCTGTAATCCCAACTTTCTGAATGCACAGTGCAGTCAAGTTTTCTCTTAAAAGGCTGTTCTTGGATTAAACTCATATATTTTTATTTTTTCCATCTCAATTACTCACAGAATTTGTCAGTTCTCTCTGTTTTTTATTATATATAAAACATCATGGTGACTCATATCTTGTGATGAAGCTCCTTCACCAAATCTGTATTTTCATGTTTATTTCCACAACTGTTGACAGGGCCGTCCTCTGCTTGTTTATTTTTCCCCTTCTCATAAGCGGGGAGCTCCTTGGAGACCCCCAGGCGGACGACGGGAGCTGCAACCCCTTTAATCTTGTCCACAGGGTTCTCGCTGCTCTTTTCTGCTCAGTTATTAAAGAAATGCACATATGTTCAGTGCAACAATCAATAAGGGAAACTAGTCATTCATGTAAACAGTCTTTGGGAGCAGCACACAGCTTCACATTATCAACAAGAACAATTGTAATTCCAGGGAACTTTGACTCAAAAGGTTGAATTTGTGTCACAATGATGCTAACCCGTTAAAATAGAAATGAACACAGGATAAAAAAAATTAAAAATATCTCCGCTAAATACACCAGAGCAGTAAAGATTTGTTTTTACATCGGCGGTGCTCTGAGGAAGGCTACAGCGTTAGCCGAAACTTGCCAACTTAAACGGTAAAAACTAGGGCTGTCAAATGATTACAAATTTTAATCAGATTAATCAGAATTTTCAGTGGATTAATCATGATTACTCACTATTTGAAACCACACATGAATCCTAACCAGTTTTTTTCTGAAATGCATACCATTAGTAGTCTGGCGCGAACCGCTTGCAGCACCTGACGGTCCACCAGCAAACGCATGTTTGGCGTTGACATGGTACCTCAGGCTTGAACAGCTCCGGTGAAATTGAAACTCCTTATTACAAATCTGGCAAAAAACCTTGCACTTGTTAACTGTACCATCATTATTCTTTTTATATCTGAATCCATCCATAGGCCCACCTTGCTCCATCTCACCTTAACTCCCCAAACACGTTCCTAACAAATGATTCGTCACACTGCACATGATTTGAATGTGTTAAAAAAATTGATTTAATTAACGACCAAAAACTAATTAACGCCGTTAACGTGTTATTTTTGACAGCTCTAATAAAAACAAACCTTTACTACATTGTGTTTAGAAAAGAACCAAGCAATGGATTTTAACAGATAACACAGAACAAACGAGGTTCAAAAATTCACCAGTTGCAGATAACTCTTTGAAGAACCTGTTTGATTAGTTCTGCCTGGATTGATGAGCTAACTGATTGTGCAGTGCACCAGGCTGAAGACCAAAGGTGACAGATCATCTGCTGCTGTGGCCCCCAGACTCTGGAACTCTCTCCCCCTGAGCCAGAGATCAGTGGACTCAGTGAACTCCTTTAAAAAGCAGCCGAAAACTCACCTGTTCAGGCTTTTGTGTGACCTTCATCACCCTCTCCTTGTTCTGCTCTCCACCTTCCTCAGGATCCACTGATTTCCCTCTTTCCTATTCACTCTCTCTCTTTCTTTACATTTTTAATCACAATAGTCAATTTTTTTGCTCATTTTAAATACATTTTTAATCATTTTCTAAATTCTTTTTTATATTTTTACATTTTTTGTTTTTGTGAAGCACCTCGTGATTTTTATCTTGAGAGGCGCTATAGAAAAGATCTTCTTTTTTCTTTTTCTTTTTCTTCTTCTTACTGCTAGTCCACAGGGGGCTAAGAACAAATCAGATTTCTATTATATTAAAGTGACTCTTCATGGAAAATGACTGTATGATTTCTTGTGAAAAGCAGTTCTAACACCTCACATGTTAAATGGTTATGCTAGTAATAAGTTAGTATTCCTGCTAATGCTAAAAGCTAACTGTTGTCCATATTTGAGCTTAAACGTAAAACACAATCCCAGCCAGAGGTGTGTAAAATAGTGTTGAATGCATTACTTTGCTTTGAAATAAAGCATTTAAATTGGAACTGATTTAAGGTCAGTAAGACACTTTAGCGTTGCTTAGACTAGCTGTTAGCTTCTCTGTTTAGTCAAAGCTAATCTCCATTTCTCCACATTTAAGGGGTTTAAACTCCATGTAGGATATTAATAGCCTTTAGGCAGAACCCCTCCTAAAAGATGGTGAATTCAATAAAATTCTTAATTCTGTGGTTTTTATTTATGTTTTCTCTACCATTTCATCATGTTTTAAACATAGTAGTAAAACTACATTTCTCACTTTTCTAGTTTTCTGTGCATCATAACCAAACTTAACTTATTTATGAAAGTGTTCAAATTTTGTTCATGGTTGGTCTTACTTTGTCATTTCAATCATAAAATTCATTAAAGTTCACATTCAGTGTTTATTTTAGCTGTTTTTGTCAGCTTATTGTTTCATCGTCGTTAATTCCATTTCACATCTAATTCCTATTCAAACTATTTTCCATTAAAAAAAAACAAATCGATCATTGTAGCCAAAACACATTTGAGGATATTTAAACTAAAGGGACCTGGTTTCATCCTCTCCATGTTCTTCACTTTTTCACCAACACATACTGTACAATAACAGCTGTGTTTACATGTCCAAGAACAAGATGTCCGAGCTTCCTAAATGTCTCCCACCTCCTCTCTAGCGGTTGTGCTCTGTGGGGCCGAATAGCCGCTGGAGAACATAAATCAGCCTCCACCCTCCGGTTACACCTAAACGTGACTGAAGTCACCTTCTCAGAAAGGAAGTGTCAATCTAAAAATACACGTGTGTGTGTGTGTGTGTGTGTGTGTGTGTGTGTGTGTGTGTGTGTGTGTGTGTGTGTGTGTGTGTGTGTGTGTGTGTGTGTGTGTGTGTGTGTGTGTGTGCGTGTGTGCGCCGACTGATTCATGACTGCTTTAGAATCGAGTTAATGGGAGTGTTAAGTTGCATAAATATTTACACGTCTCCCTCTCAGCCTCTGGAAGGATTCATTCTTTGTTTTCGTCTAAATTATAAAAAGAACATAAATAATGTTAGACATTATTTTACTTTTTTATGTAAATTTAAACACAAATGTGTTTTCTTCCAGCCTGCCGGGTCTTGAGTCAGAGGGAGATGAAAGGTAAGCTAGTCAGAAAGAACTAAATACATGAGCCTAAGTTCTCATGTATTTTTATTTAGAATATTTCAGACTGAATCAAAAACACAAAATATTTTTACTGAAAACTTCTAACTGCCGTTTTTTGAACTGAGATACAGTTTTTGATGCTTGGCGGAGCAACAATAATGTGGAGTTATAGTATTGTATTGTGAAAGCTCTGTTCCTGATCGCTGTGATTCACCGTTTCTCCCCAGTGTCGCTGTTTTTCCACCTTACAGTCTCTGTCACATCTCTGTGGTCAAATTACTTGTTTCCTCTTTTCTTTCCTCTACTTGGACCAAAACATCCAGTCTGCCATTAAAGTATCAAAATATAAATAAAACTTTTTAAAATGAGAGAAATCACCCTGTTACTGTGGCTTTCAACATGAACAGCCATCATTTCACATATTAAACAGAATATGATTAATGCATCAACTAGTTTACAGCTGATTATATATTAGAATTGTAAATTTTAACATTTAATACTGCTTGTTATTATATTTGATCACTTTAAATTTTAAATTAAATCTTCAGCCTAAACCTGGAACTGGTAAAAAGTTTTGAAAAAGCAAAAGTAAAATATACTTTTTTTTTAATAACAGGGTTCAAAAACTCCCAAATATTTTAATTAATAAAACAAGTACTTAGAGATTATCTTAAATAAAAATGTTTTTAAATAAACTATTCAGTTTGTTTTTAGTAACACTTCACAGTAAGGGTCCCTTTATTAATGTTACTTAGTGCATTATTAAGCATTAATAAACTATTAAATAACATATTAACAACTGATTAATGTTAATATTAATGCGTTACTAAGCAGAGAGTGCCCCCCCCCCTCTCTCTCTCTCTGGCCCTTTGTCCTAACCTTAAGAACACATAATTAACAATAACAAGTTAATAAAATAATCCTTTGTTTATTAAAACTTGATAATGCACCAAGTAACATTGATATAAGGACCCTTATTGTGAAATGTTACCCTGTATTTTCATAATATCTTTTCTAGACGTCTCCTCACTATTTAACTCACTACTAGGTGGTTTTGGGTGAACGTAAAGAGCTACGAGGACATTTAAACAATCTCTCTAACACCAGCTCCAGTGGTGGACGGTCACTTAGTTGGCCTCACAAGCTCAACCGTTTCTGCTTTTGTGAAATCTTTTTTGTTTTGTTTTTTCTTTGAGTTCGAGTCGACAGAAACCGATGAGAGCTGCATCAACAGGCCGAGCGGGACTCCAGCGAACAGAAACAAATCCCCTATCCTCCGAGAGATGCATTAGTCCAAACACGTCGAAGCTGGTTTCCATATCATCTCATTACAGAGGACATATGAGAGAGGGGACGGAACGTGGGCGTTGGGATGTCAATGTGTTTTTGCTGAGTTCTTCTCTGTGTTCACCATAGTTGTTGTGCAGCTAATGCAAATCTCACGTTTGATATTTTTCCTGCAGCCCCACAGACAAAGATGCTGCAAGTGACACAGACATCAGGTGAGATCAACTGGTTTCCATGGTGATGCATCAGTATTAACAGCAGATATATTTTTTTCTCCAGCTTGACTCTTGGCCACATGTTGACTCATCGAACATTTGATTATTCTTTGACGACTGGATATATCAAAGTCATACTGTGCAACGTTTTCATATTTTAAATCGTTTTCATCGGCTGGTATGTGCTAAAATGACCATTTACAGGGTAACAAAATGTCACTCAGACCCCACCGCCCTATGTGGCCAGAATACCGCACTTCTGGTTAGTTGCACTAGAAATGGAGCTGACATACCTGACGCTACAGTCTGCTTTCAGCACATTTCCTTCATATTTTAGATCATGAACACAGCATTTTGCTTCATTTCATGACAAATCGCTCCTGTAGACACTAAAGAAGGTTGAGGAGACAAGTTTTATTTTTGGTTCTACTAAACGGACACTAGGGGGTGCTAAAAGCAAGCAAAACCGCCACGTGTGCCTTTAACACTGAGAAGTTCTCGTAGCTCAGGAATTAACTCCGACCCGTTTGTGAAACTAAAGACTCGTTAAGCAAGGAAGAGATCATCTTGTTTTTTTGACAACTCTGGGTGTGTTGTGAATCTCCCCGGCAGGAAGAGAGGTCCAGTGGCCTACGCTTCCCAGAAGCCCTGGCTGCTCAACACCTCGGTGGTGGAGAACATCACCTTCGAGATGCCCATGATAAAATCCAGGTGAGACCTTGGACTTTTCTGTATTTTAGGCCTTCACCTCTTTTGAGTCACTCATAGAAAATCAATGTGAGAAACAATGTGGTGAGAAACAAAGAATATTTCATTAAAGGAGTAATTATGCTTCTTCAGTTACCTCCACACTTGTAGACTCCATTAGTATCACACACACTAAAACTCTCGTTGGTGCTTTTCAGGCTCGTTCTGAAAGGCTTGAATTTTTGCTTTAATGGCAACAGACCAGCTCTAATGGACTGTTTTCCCCTTTTGTCCCTTTTGTGTTTCTGTTTAACACTAATGGGTTGGTGTTGCCGTGGATATGTGCTGCTGAACTGCTTCTGTCTGGATCCAGGTGGTTTATTACATCTGTCTGCAGCAGGTGTTTCCATGCGTTTACGTCTCTTCTGGTGCCGGCACTGTGCAACAGTCGGTTTGAGTTATTTATAGATTAACAGAAATTAATGCAAAACTGATCAAATAAGCTTCACCTTCAAAATCAAAGGAATTAGTTTAAAATTAAGATAATTTTTCATTTGGAAATGATGGGGCAGGAGCCACGTTTGTCAAATTCTGAAGCGCTGCACCAAACTTACAGTTGCAGGCTGCAGCATTGTTGACCGCCTTTTACCTTTCAGCAGAGCGGTAATAATTTATACGCTAAAAATAAACAGACATGGTTATTTTCTGACCCCCCTAATGGATTTGAGTGTCTTCCAGTGCAGCTTTTAGTCTCAAACTTCATGCAAATTTAGTATTTTTACAACACATGAAAAAGAATATTAGCTCAAGCAAGTCTGTGGATCTGCAGGTGTTTCATTGGGGATGTCAGGCTAGGTAAGCATGTTATTTCAGGGTCGTGACCCCATATTGTTGGAGGTAAACCTGCTCCTGGAACATCGCGTTTAAATGATTATGGCTTCACGTAAAAGTGTGTGTGCATTTCCTTAAATGTGTCACATTTAAGATTTAAATGATGCAAACAGATGAGTTTCTGGCCATCAAGGTAACCATGGTCTGGTTTTGTTTCTGTCTGCCAGCTGATCTCTGTCCTCGTTTGTATTCTGTGTGTCTGACAGATACAAAACCGTCATCGAGGCCTGCTCTCTCCAGCCTGACATCGACATTCTTCCACAGGGGGACCAGACGGAGATCGGGGAGCGGGTCAGTTTATCATTCCCCTTTATTCATCATATCTGGCTCCCATCCTGACTGGCTCCCCTTCAGGATCATTCATCATCATTACCGTACGGCAGGAACAATGTTTCTGTGTGCTGGGAGCTGGAATGACCAGGTTTAGTCAAAGATCTGCCATGTTGGAATTCACTAACGAAGGAAATAAACCCATTGTCCCTGATGCTCTTCTGGAGGACACACACACACCTTCCTTCACACGCTTTCCCTTCTCGTGCAGGGAATCATCTTATCGGGGGGGCAGAAGCAACGCATCAGCGTGGCGAGGGCTTTGTACCAGCAGACCAACGTGGTCTTTCTGGTGAGTCTGCACATAAACGCCGCTCAGATTTCATTAAGAGACACACTCGGGCTGCTGGGTTTGGTATCTGATCTGATTCTATTTCTGAAGCTGTCCTGCATGATAAAAATAACGACACGCTTCCTAAACTCTCTGCAGACGGCTTTGAAATGTCAGATTCTGTTGGCTTTTGAAATACGACACGTGGTAATTATATTTTCATAGAAAAGGCTGTAAATAAAGACATTCAGAGAACATTTAATGTGCTCTTTAATATTATTTTACTCTTTTTCTTTAACTAATGAAAGAACTACTTGCCAAAGTCTACATGCATTTTTAGAGAGCCATTAAAAAAATACCTCATTAATTAATATATTAGGTGAATTATTTATGGATACCCTGTTTCCCTCAATGTAAGATAATTATGCCATCAGCTACATATTTTAAGCCTAACTGCATTTCTGTAGATATTTTTAAGATCTGATGTTTTATGACTCAACAAGGGGTTCTGATGCCAAGGCTGAGAAACCAAACTTTTAGACCAGGGGTCACCATTCTGCAGCTTTTAGCTGTTTCCAACACACCTGGTTTAAGATACAAGCAATTAGGATTAAAACTGTTAAAGAAGTGAATAAATAATAACAATAATAATAAGTAGTGTATAGTAATGTATGCATACTTTTTTCTAAGTATATATTCCTAATTATTTGTGTTTTTATGTTCAGGACGACCCATTTTCTGCTTTAGACATCCACCTTAGTGACCATCTGATGCAGGATGGCATCCTGAAGATGCTGAGAGAAGAGAAACGGACCGTCGTGTTGGTCACACACAAACTTCAGTATCTGCCACATGCTGACTGGGTAAGACCAGAGAGTGAGTGAGTCTGTGTGTGTGTGTGTGTGTGTGTGTGTGTGTGTGTGTGTGTGTGTGTGTGTGTGTGTGTGTGTGTGTGTGTGTGTGTGTGTGTGTGTGTGTGTGTGTGTGTGTGTGTGTGTGTGTGTGTGTGTGTGTGTGTGTGTGTGTGTGTGTGTGTGTGTGTGTGCGTGTGCTTGTCTTTATGTATTTAAGTGGACACATTTTGACTTTTGACCTGTAGTGTGCAGACATGTCCACATTGTGGGGACATTTGGCTGGTCCACAGTGCACGAAAACCTAAAACTGGGTTTTAGAGGTTTGGTGTGAATTAACTTTTAGTTTAGGTTAGTTAGGAACAGGGCTCGAATTACACACAGGTGTCCCCAGGAATCCTTGAGAGGGAGGGGGAGGGGAGGGGAGGGGGACGGTACACACGGTATGCTCGATATGTCCCGGTATGGTGAAAGTCCATTTGAGTACTTAAAGTTGAAAATGAAAAAAATTTCGAGTTCCCCCTTGGTGTGTGTTCTGGGGGACCCATCACCCTTTCAGGGGAGCAGGGCTCCCCCTATTCCTCCCATAATTTGAACCCTGGTTGGGAATAGAACAGCATTGGTTAGGGTTAGGCACATTTTATTCATTTATTTGCTTTTTTTTTAATTATTTATTTAACCAGGAACATCCCATTGAGATTTAAAAACTCATTTTCAAGGGAGTCCTGGCCAAGAGGCAGCAAAAGTTACAGTTACAAACTTTTTCTGTTACATAGACATGTTATAAACAAAGTTACAGAAGGCAGTTACAACACAGGGAATCCGTCTCAAGGGCTCTCAGTCTGGTTTTGAATGTAGTCAAGGAGATAAACTCGGTCAATTCCCACTTTTCTGTTCCATGCAGAAGGAGCAGAGTTCATGAAAGCCCTTTTGCCCAGTTCTGTGTGAGCAAAGTGGAGTCACTAAAATGAATGGACGTCAATGAAGGGTCCACACTGTGTGTGTGTGTGTGTGTGTGTGTGTGTGTGTGTGTGTGTGTGTGTGTGTGTGTGTGTGTGTGTGTGTGTGTGTGTGTGTGTGTGTGTGTGTGTGTGTGTGTATTATCAGATTATCGCCATGAAAGACGGCAGCATCCAGACTGAAGGGACTCTGAAGGACATCCAGAACGCTGAACCTGAGCTCTTCGAGCACTGGAGGACTCTGATGCACAGACAGGACCGGGAGTTTGAGACGGTGACTAATGATTCCAGAGAATTAAAGAGGCTTTCATGACTTGAGTCAATATTTAATAAAGGTTCACTTTTATTAAATCTTGGGGAAATTAGGATTATATTTCAGACACAATCCAGCACTGCTCAGAGTTTGATCGTGGAGTCTTTTGTCCTCAGGAGACGGTGGCGGCGAGCATGACCGACATGGAGCGAAAGAACCTTCGGAGGGCCATGTACTCCAGAGACGCAGCAAGGACCGAGGAGGATGAGGAAGGTGAGAGGAGACGAGGCACGACCAGCTGGTCTAAATTTATGCATGACTGCAGACGAGGAGCGTCTCTGATGTCAGTCTGGCTGCTACACTCATGAGATCATTTCCCTCCACCTGCTGTGTTTGCTGAGAAGAAGCATCTGTCACCTTAAAGCTCAAGACCATCAAGCTTAATTTAATGTTTACATCCTTTTTCCGTGTGTTGTAGCTTCAGATTCCCTTTTATTTTGCCAATAAACACCAACATGTGTAGGTGCTGGAGTTCTTTTAGTTTAGCTCTTGTTTCTCAGTTATAAGATAGTCCAGCATGTTCTCCCCTGCAGCCTCCTGCTGGTACTAAACACTGGACCCGACCCTTTGTGTGCCTCTGCTGTGATGAGAGATGCTACGGTGCATCGGCTGTGCTTTTTTATTTTTATATCTGTGCTGTGTTGTCTCCTGTGTGCTGGTGGCACCCTGGGGTGGATTTGTTCGATGGCTCCAGCTGCAGGTGTTACCCTTGAGTTCAATCTAGCAGCCATGCTCAGAAAGCATGGCTTGGAAAAGAAAAGGCAAAAATAGAAAATGCATGCTTGTGGGACTGTGATGCTTCTTGTAGGATGGTATTTTGGACCGGCAGTCGAGGGGAAAAATGAGCATTTCCTAGTTTAGAGAGTCAAATGGGAATGATGAGAGTATTCAGACTTTTATTCCTCAGGATTTGAATTTTATTCTCTACGTTTAGACTTTTTTTGACAAATATCAGTTTTCCAACTTTTTTCCTGACAATTTTGATGTAATGATCATCGTAATTTCCCTACATTCTGACACAAATGTTGATATTTTGACATTTTTATCAACATTTCAACCTAAATTTCAACTCAAAAACATTAATATTTCATCATTTAGACATATTACTCTGTTTAATTTAAATCTTGAAATTCTGACTTTATTTCAGTTACAATAATTAGATTTGAGCATAAACATTATTTTAACTTCATTCAGTTACTTCATTTTATTTTTGACTTTCAACTTTTTGCTCAACTTCTTGTTTTTAATCTCAAAACAGAATATTTTTCATCACTACTTTAAATATTTTTGACATCATCGTATTAACACTCAATTTTTTCCCTTAATTTTGTGACTTTATGACATTTTGACTTTCCTTTGTCAAAATAAAATTTTAACTTTCATTAATTTTTTGTCAAATTTTTTATGAACATTTAGAATTTATATAATATTTAATCCCAAAACCCTTCTTAGTGGTAGTGTTAGAAGGTTATGCACTATATCATCCAGACTTTATTTAATTTTTTACCCATCAAAGAAAAAAAGTTTAATTTAATTGATCAGAATTTTCAAAATGTCACCCTTTTTATGATTCTGTTCCTTTCAGCTTTGGCTTTTTTCTTCAACATTCTGGTTATTTTGTTTTTATTCTGGTAAAATTAATTCAACTTTTTAATTCTTTCTTTAATAAAATTTTGTTTTTTTAATTTGACATATCATAAATCCTAAAGTTTACACTTGATGGTAGCATTATTGGACAATACATTGTACGATTCAGACTTCAACAATAATTAATACTTTTTTTAATCGGGCTTTTTTTTCAACATTTCACATTTATTTTGGACATTTTTACTTAACTGTTTTAGTGTTTGACTTTTATTCCTGACTTTTGTGTCAAATTTTAACATTTGGGTTTAATTTCAAAATGGACAACAAAAAAAAGTCCTTTTATTTACTTTTTTCTTTGTGGCCCTAAGTTTCCATAGTTTTCTAGAAAAAGCAGATCGTTGTTTGTAAATGTCATTTATTTAGCTTTTGCGAACACGCTCGTAGGCAACAGCTGTTGTAGCAGTTCTGTGCTGATAGTCGTGAAACGTTTAGCGTTTCCTGCTTCGTCCTTCTGTTTGCTCTCTGCCTCCAGCATGTCGAGGCTCCCAGATGCCCACATGTAGCCTATTGCTCCACTGCTCTGGTGCGTGATGTGATGGGTGATATTTACGGTACGTTAATGGGTGGGGAGGAGGTGAGAAGTCGTTCCCATTAGCTTCTCACCACTCTGGCTTGTGGCAAACCTTCTCTGGTTTCTCCTCCCTGGTGGTTCTCTGTTCTCTAACTGGTAGTTTGTCAGTCAGAAGAGGAGAGAAAGGAAATACCTAAAGAGTTAAATCACACAAAATTATTGAGAAAAGTGAGTTGGAGCAAAGATTAGACTCCAAATTGAACTGATCTCCGTTTTGATCTCAGAGGATTCCGTTGAGAGTGAGGATGACGACAACCTGTCTCAGGTGATGCGCCAGCGAGCCACCATCCCATGGCGCTCCTGCGGGACCTACCTGTCCTCCGCTGGTGTCCTCCTGCTCACCCTGCTCCTCCTCTCGCAGCTCTTCAAACACACACTCATGGTCGCCATTGACTACTGGCTGGCACACTGGACGTCGCACGTCATCACCACCAAGTTAGGCACCGCGGCTCACAACTGTACCGTGGTTCAGGTAAGAAACTCACCTGATCTGTGCTTCCTGTGATACTGTTTGATTTTTTCGAGTTGTTTTTTCATGTTCTTATTTGCTTTGAGAGTTTGACATTTTCACATTTCCTGCACAGGTCGCTTTTCTCTGTCGAGAACTTCTCCAACCTGTCGACTCACCATTTCTATTGGGATTATCTCACCACCGCTCAAAATTAGATCCAAAATAAACATCTACGTCGTTTCTCCTGATCGCAGAATTTCCCTTCAGGGGAATCGACACAATTATTCACAGTTTTCTGACTAATCCTCAAGTGATGCTCAGTAAGAAGGAAAAAGAAGAGAAAACCCAAACACGGACGCTGCCAATTCCAGATGGAGCAAAATGGCATCCTGAAGCAGCAGCGACGGCTTTATCTGCATATCAGAGCAGCCGGCACACACTTATGGAGAAATCATAGCTGAAAAATGTGAAATTAGAGAATAAAACAGGAATTTACCAGAATGCAGATGTGGGATTGTATTGATGTAGCATCACAACTGATAGCATTGCATCACTTCTCTTTGATCTGCTTTAAACCTAATCTAAATATATATTGTGCACACACACACACACACACACACACACATGCACGCACAAACACACACACGCACGCGCTATTGTTTCATTGTAGTATAAATATAGTGAGGTTTAAAGGTTGTGCTCTGTCTTTCACAATCAGAGGTCACACCAGCTGTTAGCATGTGAGTCCATTCCAGGATGAGGGAATTTAACATTAGATGTGTGTGTGCGTGCGTGCGTGCGTGCGTGCGTGCGTGCGTGCATGTGTGTGTGTGTGTCATAAACTTAAATGCGAGGTCACATCTCACACGGTCACGTGAAGGCTACATACAGAGTCAGCTGCAGTATAAAAGGCCCAGAAGAACACACACATGCATGCACACACTCTTCTGCAGTCACACACACAGCTAAGTGCACATAAACTGCCGCCTGAACGCTGAGCACATCTTGTTTGGCCGAGCTTCACAGACTCTTTGCCAGGTTTATCTAATCTGCACTGTGCTGTGGACTAATCCACCGGGGGACACTCCGAAGTCCTGTTTGGCCATCAAACACACTCTCGCCCTGTAAATGCCGCTGGGAGGAGGAGTTAGGGCGAGGCAAGAAGGGAATACGGAGAGGAGGAAGATTAGAATGAACCAGGAGGATGAGGAGGGTTAAAACATGAAGGCAGCCATGATGCAGTCTCAGCCAATCATGGAGCTTCATTTATCCACCTGTTTTAGGGTGCAGAGGGACGGGTGTACCTCTATTTAGAAAGACGCTTCAAATAAACCTTCGTGGTGTGAAAACTGGTGGATGATGATAGAAACTGGTGGTTCCTCGGGTCAACGTTTGTGTTTTGAGTTTTCATGAGGGAAACCACTTCGTGTTTTGAAGAAACATTAAATACATCTTGGCTGCTATGGAAACCAGTTGGAGATTTTCAGTTTATTTGCTGCCTTCTGGGGGGATTTAAGATCAAAAGCTGCATCTATATGCTCAAAGGCTTATTGAATTTTGTATCCAATGCATTGAAATATGCAACATCAGAAAAACTGAACAAAGACAAACAAGCTTCAAATCAGTGGTGAAGTAATAAAAATCATCACTGCTCAGTCTGCTTCCCATTTAGTGAAATTATGTTTCCCAAAATCCTGTTTTAGCGTTAAAACCTTGGATAATCAGCTTTGTAATGAGGGCTGCGTTCCATATAGAAGACGTTCTACTTGTTTAGAGCAAGGAGAGTGGGTGGAGAGGATCTCCAGAGAACATATTCAGCTATAATTGTTACAAGAGATGAAAATAGAAAATCTAAATGCACGAAGAGTATAAATCTCACTGAGGATGGTTGTGTTGCTGCGTTATTTAAAACCTTCAGTGGTTTAGGTCGTAAAGCTCTGCTTGTGGGTCAGAAGCTAAAAGGTTTGGTGCAGGTTCCAGCTGCAGAAGTGGAATTCAGTATTTGGGTTGTTTTGATTTTGTTTATTTTTTTCTCCAGTTTATCTTGTGTAAATGCATGACTTACTGAGGTTTGCATATATGAGACATTGGAATCAGAGATATGTAATTTAAATAAAATTCCCTGTTTATTTTATGATTTTCTAATGTAAATGCTGCATTATAATATTACTGATTCATTTCGGTTTATTTTCTTAAGCTAAAAGTGTCAAATTTAAAATCCTAAACTGTGACTGCTATGATTTTTTTTACATTTTTTTCATTACATCATAAACATAAATTTGACTCATTTTATAATAAAGACAAATGGACTTACAGGAAGAACAGCATGAAGAAGAAGAGTCAAAACCAAAAGCTGAACAGCAGAACCTTATCAGCACTTTCCTCCTCCTGTTTGCTCAAAAGATGCCAGCTCAGCTCTGAAAGCTTCTCTGGCTTTCACCACTTAAAGCTGGAGTGTAATTATGTTTGTAATTACAGTCCAGGCTAAGTGATCAGCGCCTTGTCAAACACAAACGGTTGTGTGTCGTTGTGCTGCAGGCCTGCGGCTTCAGCCACTCGTGGTACCTGTCTGTGTTCAGCGTGCTGTGCTGCCTAGGCATCATCCTCTGTCTCGCCACCTCTGTGACGGTGGAGTGGACCGGCCTGAGGGTGGCCAAAGAGCTGCACCACAACCTGCTCAACAAGATCATTCTGGCCCCCATGAGGTGTGTGTGTGTGTGTGTATGTGTGTGTGTGTGTGTGTGTGTGTGTGTGTGTGTGTGTGTGTGTGTGTGTGTGTGTGTGTGTGTGTGTGTTCTGAGAAGCGCTGAATGTTTGGTTTTCTGAGGAAGGCAGAATGTTCTCTGAGTAATGAGGCCAAAGGAAGGAGCTTTTACCTCCATCTCCTCATTTAAACACACACACACACACACACACACACACACACACACACACACACACACGATGTTCAAAGCAGAATTCTCATGATGAGAGGATTTTTAAAATCCCAGACTGCTCTAATGTAATCTAGTAGATTAAATGGCTTCATGATACTGTTAATTATATTAAAATAGATTATTTAGGAAATCAAATGAAGTGATATTATAAATAAATGGATGAGTAAGTGAATGAATTATTTTGTACCTCAGTTCAGAGGAATGGGATGATAAATGGTCTGTATTTGAAATAGCACCTTCTAGATTCTATGAACCCCCAAGGTGCTTTATAACCCAGCCAGTCATTCACCTATACACACACACACGCACACACACACACATTCACACGCTGATGTGATGAGCTACAATGTAGCCACAGCTGCCCTGCGGCACACTCATGCCACCAGTCCCTCCACCACCAGCAGGCTGGGAGGGTGACGTTTCTTGCCCAGGGACACGACTGCCACAGACTGAACGGGGCTCAAACCTGCAACCCTCTGGTTATGGGGCGGATACTTAACACCTATGCCACTGTCACAAAATGAATGGATGAGCCAACCAGTCACCCTTATTAATACCTTCACAAATTAAAGTATGGATAGACAGATGGAGGGATAAATTCATTCAATATTAACTTGGTGAATAAATGAGCAAGTGAACCAATGACTGACTGACTGACTGACTGAATGAATGAATGAATGAATGAATGAATGAATCTTCCCCGTATTTCTGCTGAATCCTAATTTTTTTCCCTCTAACAAACAGATAAAGCCACTGGTTTTGTGTCTTCATCCCTTCAGGCTGTTTGAGACGACGCCCCTCGGCAGCATCCTCAACAGGTTCTCCACAGACACCAACACCATCGACCAGCACATCCCCACCACCCTGGAGTGCCTGTCTCGCTCCACCCTGCTGTGTCTGTCCGCCCTGGGTGTCATCTCCTACGTGACGCCTGTCTTCCTCGTCGCCCTCCTGCCCCTCGCCGTGGCTTGTTACTTCATCCAGAAGTACTTCAGGATGGCTTCCAGGTCAGACGAGCGGCACAGACACCTGCTGAGGTTCTGGTGTAGAGATTTCTGACTGATGTCATTTCCTCTGTGTGCTGGTCAGAGACCTGCAGCAGCTGGAGGACAGCACCCAGCTCCCTCTGCTGTCCCACTTCTCTGAGACGGTGGAGGGTCTCACCACCATACGAGCCCTCAGGTAGTTCCACACCTCCTGCCTCACAGTCACAGCAGCATAAATCTAATTAACAGATTTAACTAAAAGTTTTAGCTCAACAACCATTAGATCCTTGTCGTTTTGATGCATTGAAGTAGTTTTTTTTTAAAAGGATGTTCTGCAGGAAGAAATCCTCTCTTTGCAGCTGGATTTTACTTCCAAACCCTGCACCCCGGTGACATGATGGAAATGCTTCAGTCAGATGCTTTCTGGTGTTGTGAAGTGACTCCAGTCCTCTCGTTGTCAGGTACGAGCCCAGATTCAGGCAGAGGTTGCTACAGTTCACCGACGCCAACAACATCGCCTCGCTCTTCCTCACGGCCGCCAACCGTTGGCTGGAGGTCCGCATGGTAATGACCCATCTGCTGTTTAGGATTTTTTTTTTAATCTGTCGGTCACGCCTCTGGCTCCCAGCCACATGTTTGTTGCTGAGTAACTGCTCCCTCTGTTGGGTTGGTGAAACACTGATTATTTTATTGACTCAAAGCTCCATCTTCACACCGTGTTTTTGTATCGGCTGCTGCTCCTTCAGCTGCTGGACACAATAAAAACCCCACGTCCTGTCAATATACTGCAATAATAATCTTATTAGTCACTCACCAGGGCATCCCTCTGCTTCTCTGCAGGAGTACATTGGAGCCTGCGTGGTGCTGGTGGCGGCTGTGGCCTCCATCACAAACTCTCTCTACGACCAGCTGTCTCCTGGTCTGGTGGGACTCGGACTCACATACGCTCTCATGGTGACTGTTTTATTTACTAGCTACAGTTTTATGTAGTTTTATCTAAAAATTGTGCATAAAACACATTAAAAAGTGTTAATTCATGCATATTATTATATAATTTCAGTTTCTTATTTTAAGAGTGAAAGCACATAAGTTATTCTATAATCTCCAGAAATATTTTAAGCAAAATATTTATTATCAAATAAGGGAAAGAGCTGCATTAAGACGCCGGGCGTTGATGGTTGCTAGGGAACTTAAAGTCATGCAAATGTCTGAGCAACTCTTTGAAAGTTAAAACAAAAGTTGTTTACTTGGAGTGGAAATAAAATAAGAAATGTAGTAACGTAATTCATGTTCATATGTTTAGAAAACCTACAAATCTTTGCTAAAATTATAGTTTATCTGCAAAAAATCAAGGAGATTTAGCAGATTGTGGAGCATAGAAATAAATCCTCCCAATGTGATCGGCAAACTCAAGCCAGAAACTAACTTCTGATAGATTTTTGAAACTAATCCTGTTAAACGATCAAATCTAAATCTCTGTAGGCAATGTGGGAGTTCATAAAACTTGTAAAAATTACATTTGGCTCTTAAATCCATCCATCTATTCTCTACCGCTTATCCAGAGTCTGGTCAGGGGTCACAAGTAGAGAGGCCCAGACTTCCCTCACCCCAGCCACTTGGACCAGCTCCTCCGGGTGATCCCCAAGGCGTTCCCTGGCCAGCCAAGAGACATAGGCCCAATCCCAATACTCGCACTTGCACTCTTCATTTGCGCATTCCTGGCCAGGGGTGCGAGTGCGTAGGGTGTCCCGATTCTCAAGTGCGGAAGTTGACTACGCCCCCATTGCACCCTTAATCTGCACTTCACCCAAGTCCGCAGCGATGCGGACCTCGGGCAAGGGTATAAAGCCTGATTCATGCTTCTGCGTCAGCTCCACAAGGCACAGACATGCACGGATTGACGGAAGCGTTTTGCTCTCATACTTCTCTGTCTCCTGGAGAGCGTTGCAAAGCAATTCCGCGGCAGGACAACAGAGGGCTTAGCGCTGTTCTGTGGTATCCTGTCATGTATCGGTCCAAGATAGTGTGTTTATATTGTGTTTTTTGAATGTAAGAGACTTTTTAACACGGACAAATTTGTCTCTCATTCTCCTCCACCTCTTCATGCGCTCGCCACCTCTAAACCCACGTTTCCTGTCATTTCCGTCCACAAATAAAACGCTTGCTGCGCATCTTTTCACTCCTCCAGTCACGGGGAATTAAACGTTCATATTTTAGAGTTTTTTTCGCGAGGTATTCTTCAAGCTTCTCCATGTCTGCCGCTAGTTATCCTCGGCTCTCTTTATGTTTTTGAGGGCGCAATGGCGGCGGTGTAGACGACAGCGGCGTCCTGACCAATCACAAGCTTGCGTTCTCCGTCTCGACGGACGGATGTTTAGAAAAGTGGCCTCGACTCCGTACGTACATGCGTGCCTGCCGGGGCCCTATGCAAGGACGGATAATGGCGTTGCGTGTCTCCGCACTGACGCAGATGGAGAAGCATGACTCCGGCTTTACCCACAAGTCATTGCTGCAGGAGAAAAGGCTCAAGTTCCTTTTCTGAAAATATGTATTTTCTAATGAAATTAGTTAATTTTAGGACGATTAGTTGATGCTCTAAAACTTTTAGAGAAAGCAGCAGTTAATGTAAATTTATTTCAAATAACTGTTTGGCTGTTTGTTTAAAAGTTGTTAATAAAGGTTTTTGAAAAAAAGCATCACAGTGACCAGCATCCTACCATGCGTTGTGATCGATGACGCAATGCTCCCTGTCTCAATTCTGCAATTATTTGCACACTTGAATCCTACTGTGCACTTTCTCCAAGTGCACTTTTCTTAAGTCCGCAGGGTGCAGTGTGAGTATTGAGATTGGGCCGTAGTCCCTCCAGCATGTCCTGGGTCTTCCTTTAGGTCTCCTCCCGGTTGGACGTGTCCGGAAAACCTCACCAGGGAGGCGTCCAGGAGGCATCCTAATCAGATGCCCGAGCCGCCTCAACTGGCTCCTCTCATGTGGAGGAGCAGTTGCTCTACTCCAAGCCTCTCCCGGAAGACCGAGCTTCTCTCCCTGAGGGAAAACCCAGCCACCCTGCTGAGAAAACTCATTTTGGCCGCTTGTATCCCTAATTCCGTACTTTTGGTCACTACTCAAAGCTTGTGGCTGTAGTTGAGGGTAGGAACGTAGATCGGCCAGTAATTCGAGAGCTTCATCTTCTGGCTCAGCTCACTTTTCACCACGACAGACCGATACAACGCCCGCATCACTGCAGACGCAGCACCAATCCACCTTGGCTGTTAAATTTTTATTTTAAATTAAACTACAAACTTCAAATCTGAAAGTTGCTTTGCTTTAATTTAGGGATGCACCGTTATGACTTTTTTCTCTGTGGAAAAACAAGTTTAAATAACTTGACCTTAATATTTAAAGTAATTTAAACTTGTTTTTCACAGTTTTTATGCTTTTATTTAAATGAAATCAATGTTTTTATGAACACGCTTTAATGTTTCTGTTTCTTATGTGTCTGCTGTTAAACCATTAGAGGTCGAGTGACCAGATGACATCATGTGTGCACACTTAGTTTTGATCTGCAACGGGAACTTCTTTTAAAAATTGGGAGAAAACAAAAGTTTAAAAATCTAAAAAACAAAGAGAAAAACATTTAAAAAGTAGAAAGCTAAGAAAAAATAAAGAAAAATCAGGTATGGGTTGAAACTCTACATTTATTTCGCTGACCCTTTAAGTATTTCCTTTATGTTGAAGTGGAGCGGAATGTCTGATCCTCACAGCAGATTCAGGTTGAAGCCTAGAAAAGCACCCAGAGGTGTTCGGACTGAAGGGACTACGTGACTGCGACTGTCCTTCCTCCCCTCCTCTATCAGGTGTCTAACTACATCAACTGGATGGTGCGAAACTTGGCAGACATGGAGGTGCAGCTTGGCTCAGTCAAGAGGATTAATGGCCTGCTCAAAACAGAACCAGAGAATTACGAAGGACTCCTCAGTGAGTGTCTGAAACCATCAGCTTTTGAGTTTCTCCTTTATTTTATTTTATTTTATTTTTTTGCAATAACATAAATGAGTGAATTTGGAGATTAAAAAAAATACATGGTTTGTGTTTCTCAGCTGTTGCTCAGGTCCCGGACGGCTGGCCTCGGCAGGGAGAAATCAAGATCCAGAATCTGAGCGTTCGATACGACACCACCCTCAAAGCCGTACTTAAAAACGTTAATGCGCACGTGAGCCCTGGCCAGAAGGTAAACAATCAGCGTTTAGATAATAATTCTGGTTAAGCTGGGTTTGATGAGTGTTTTACGATGTCCAGGTGGGGATTTGTGGCAGAACAGGCAGTGGGAAATCCTCCTTCTCACTGGCTTTCTTCCGCATGGTGGACATGTTTGAAGGTAAAACAACCTTTTTCATTTCAACTTAAACAAGATACTGAAAAACACTAAAGCCCTCTTTCTCTCGTAACGGTTTCCTTCTTCATCCCGCAGGGAGAATCGTGATCGACAACATCGACATCTCCAAGCTGCCTCTGCAGACCCTCAGGTCTCGGCTGTCCATCATCCTCCAAGACCCCATCCTGTTCAGTGGCACCATCCGGTAAACCGCACACCTCTGTGGCTCTGATGGTAGTCATGGAGAGGGACACGGAACATTTCCAGGAAGATGTGCCACACGTTAATGACACTTATCTAAAACATGAAGTGAGCGGCTCGGAGATAAGAGGACAATTCCCCGAAAACATCATCGGAGCTGTTTATTTTTAAACCTCGGTGGCAAAGACCATAAAATCTGTTCACGCTGTAAAACATGAAGAGAAAGGTGTTTTAAAAAGCTGTCAGAGTGCATTTTAATATGATTTAGAACTAAAAACAGCCATTTTTAATAAGTTTATTAATGAGATTTGTTTCGGCTTTAATGTCAATATTCTGAGTTTATTGATGATAGTTGGTCGTGTAGAGATTTAATAAGTGCAAAGGTACAAAAGTGAAATGTAAAAAGTAATATACACTTATTTTAGCATGCTGATGAATAACAATGCATATTATTATTAATATTCAACCAGTTGACTAAACTTGGTTAGGTGAATTCAACACTTAATACCTTACAGTGTATAATCCTGACACATTTTCTTCAATCTGCAAACGACATTTTAATCTAATGATTCAATGATTCATCACCTGAACATGTAAAACCTTATGTTATGATCTATTACATTTTTTATTATTGCAACTATATAACTTCTAAACCAACAACAACCAGTTAAAGCTGGTTCATTAGCAAACCATGCAGAATGAAGGAAGGGCCCAGGGAAGAGCACAAGTGCGGTGGTTCGGTGGGACCGACAGCCGGACGGTCCAGTAGTTGCTTTGCGTCCGACCCGTGTTTTTGGCGGGGGTTTTCAGACAAATGCGAGAGAGCCGCTTTATTGTTAGTAAATTAAGAGGCATGAAAAACTTTTTTTTGAGCTAGCTTGTTTTCCAAATTAGCTGTTGCAGCTTTAAAACCAGTTAGTGAAATCCATCTTAATGCAAATATTAATTAATCTAGACCACCACAAAACCTTCTCTCTTAAAGGCATACTATGCAACTTGTTCATATTTTTAAATCATTTTCTTGAGCCAGTAAAATTACACTTTAGAAGAAGAAGAAAATATAATTTCTATAGCGCCTCTCAAGATAAAAATCACGAGGCGCTTCACAAAAACAAAAAAATGTTAAAATATAAAAAAGCATTTAGAAAATGTTTAAAAATATATTTAAAATGAGCAAAAATAGGCAATTGGGATTTAAAAGAAAAAATGTTAAGAAAGAGAGAGCGTGAACAGGAAAGAGGGAAATCAGTGGATCCTGAGGAAGGTGGAATAGGTGGGGAGAGCAGAATAAAGAGAGAGTGGTGAAGAAGGTCATACAAAAGCCAGCTTGAACAAGTGAGTCTTCAGCTGCTTTTTGAAGGAGACCACTGAGTCCACTGATCTCAGGCTCAGGGGGAGAGAGTTCCAGAGTCTGGGGGCCACAGCAGCAAATGATCTGTCACCTTTGGTCTTTAGCCTGGTGCTGCACAACCAGTAGGCTTTGGTCACTGGACCTCAGGGACCTGCTGGGGGTGTAGGGACTAAGAAGATCACCAATGTAAGATGGTGCTTGTCCATGTAAGGTCCTATAGACCAGAACCAGGATCTTGAAATGAACCCCGACATTGACTGGCAGCCAGTGAAGCTGGAGGACAAGCGGGGTGATGTGGGTGTGTTTGGAGGACTTGGTCAAAAGCCGAGCACAGGCATTCTGAACCACCTGTAGACGGTTCAGGGAGGTTCTGCTCAGACACGAGAAAAGAGAGTTACAGTAGTCTAAGCGTGAGGAGATGAAGGTGTGGATAAATGTCTCAAGTTCAGAGCGAGACAGAATGGGACTCAGCTTAGCAACGTTCCTGAGATGGAAGAAGGAAGAGCGAACAAGAGAACTGACATGAGAATCCAGGGTGAGAGCTGGGTCAAAGGTCACGCCAAGATTCCTGACGGAAGGTTTGGTGTGGGAAGCAAGCTGACCAAGAGAGTCTCTGACTTTGGGAACCAGCTTGTCTGGGGCACAGATGAGGATCTCAGTCTTATCTTCATTCAGCTGAAGAAAGCTCCCACCCATCCAGGTTTTGATAGAGTCTAAGCAGGTGAGTAACAGCTGCAGCTTAGACATGTCATGGGGCTTAAAGGAGATGTACAGTTGGATGTCATCCGCATAAAGATGGTAGGAGATTCCTTTGAAGGAGCTCAGGATGTGCTGAAGAGGAAGCAGATAGAGGAGGAAGAGCAGAGGCCCCAGCACAGAACCTTGTGGGATACCATGGGTAAGAGAGATGGTGGAGGACCTAAACTTGGAGACGGCCACAGAAAAGGAGCGCTCAGAGAGATAAGAGGAGAACCACTCCAGAGCAGTTCCTAATAGGCCTACCCAGTCTCTCAGCCTCTCCAGTAGCAGGTGATGGTCAACAGTGTCAAAGGCTGCAGTCAGGTCCAACAGGACCAGAACAGAACAGTCCCCTGCATCACTGTGAGTCAGAAGGACATTAGAGACCCTAAGAAGAGCTGTTTCAGTAGAATGAGCTCTATGAAAACCTGACTGGAAGCTATCATAGATGTTATGTTCATCAAGAGCAGCTGTGAGTTGTTCAGCCACAACTTTACAGGGTTAATGAAATGTCAGTCAGACTTCCACCACCCTCTGTGGCCAGAATGTCGTACTTGCTACTTCAGTGTGCCGGTCTGGTCCTTGTTGAACTTAGTGAAAGTGGAGCTGACATGTCTGGCATTGGAGTCTGCTTCCAGTATGTTTCCTGCATGTTTTAGATCAAGAACACAGCTTATTTGTTTAATTTGGTGAAATCACTCATGTGGACACTATTGAAGGCTGAGGAGATTTTCAGCTGATAGATTAAGGTGTTAGAAAGACAAACACACAGCAAGGAGATAAGTTTCCCTTTTGGTTTCTCAAACAGACACTAGGGGGTGCTAACAGCAAGACAAACCTGCATATAATACAGAAATGCTTCGTGTCTTTTTAATCCTAAGGTGCTCACTGGGATTCCTTAGCTCAGTAGCTTTGGGTTCCTCATTATAGGACTCAACTTAGATGTTTGAAAACATCTATATTTTTAATTTTTGTTAAAAGGGTGCTATGTGTATAGTTTGCATGTTCCCCCTTTGCATAAATGAGTTCTCTCTGGGTTCTCCGGCTTCCTCTCACAGTCCAAAAAAGAAGACCGTTAGGTTAATTGGTCTTTCTAAACTGTCCCTAGGTGTGAGCGTGTGCATTTAAAAATAAATTATAATTAACAACTTACAGTTTTACTGTTTATGCAACTAACTGTTGCAGCATTAATTGTAGTGTGTGTGTGTGTGTGTGTGTGTGTGTGTGTGTGTGTGTGTGTGTGTGTGTGTGTGTGTGTGTGTGTGTGCGTGCATGTGTGTGTGTGTGTGTGTGTGTGTGTGTGTGTGTGTGTGTGTGTGTGTGTGTGTAGGTTCAACTTGGACCCAGAGATGAAGGCGACCGACGAAATGTTGTGGGAGGCCCTAGAGATTGCTCAGCTGAAGTCTGTTGTTAAAGCCCTCCCAGGAGGTTTGGGTAAGAAAGTGCAAACTCAACGAAGATTCATATTTGTCAAAAGAAAATACTTCAAACGAGCTGTTTATTTTATTTTTTTACAGTAAACCTAGTTTTCTCACCTCTGACGTCACATGCAGACTGTGGTCACCGTGTGTGTCTGCACTAACGGGATCTTCTTACTGCTGCCTTAAATTTTTAACTGACTTCAGCTTTGCAATACAGCAGCTCGGACAGCTGAAGGGTGCATACACACACACATGCACACACTCGGGCTGCCCTCCATCATTCAGTTCTTGAGCTGATGCTCATCTCATCTGATGAACTCCAGCTGTTTGGTGACTTCATAACCTTTACGTCTCTTACAGTGTGTTACACTGATGAATGTGTGTGTCCATTAAATCCGAGCTGGAGCCAAGATGCTCAATAAGCTATTGATCTGGAGGAAGGGACTCGATGGTTAATTAAAGGTGCATTATGTAGAAAGGAAGTAAAAATGACATCCTTTGGTAAGATTTGGCTTCTGTGACCACTTTAAACAACTCTGGAGCTTTTTGCCGCCCTTGGTCATATTACAGTTGTCGGCGCTGCAGTATTAACTCGGAGGAGACACGGCAACCCCACATTCACTGATGGTAAACGGTAGTTACATACCTCCTTCCTTTGATTTGACAGGAGAAAAACTGATAATCCCTGCAGCCAGCTGGATCTGAAATAAGTTTCAGTATAACCTAAAGCATTCGGCTCTTTTGGGATATTTTCACTGTAAAATTCACTCTAAATTCTTACATACTGTATTTTTAAGCTTTGCATGATGGTGCAGTTGTTGGGACTGTTTCCTTGCAGCAAGAAATTTGCAGGTTCGAAACCCGGCTGTGATCTTTCTGTGGGAAATGCATATTCTCCCCATGCATGCGTGGGTTTCCTCCGGGTACTCCGGTTTCCCCTACAGATCACAACACGCCCTATAGGTCAACAATTGTATGTCGCTTTGGATAAAAGCGTCTGCCAAATGAATAAACATAAACAGATGCTGTATTAATACGTAGAGCCAAGTGCATCAGTAGAAATGGGAACATGAGGCTAAATAAACACAAAGTATTTTATTATTAATCTTTGGGCTTAGACATAAAGTCATTTTGGTGGAACTGAAAATCAATGATTCTTTTTGTTTGTTTTGGTGCATTTTTGTGATGATGAGAACCCATAAACATCATAATCAAAGGGAGGAATACCAGGGGCAGGAACAATTTCACTTCAATTATTGAGCAAGTTTAAAGTTTCAAAGACTCCATTTATGATGCTGCGTTTGTGAATTTGGACCTGGTCAGTACAGAACTAACATGATCAAAAACATGGAGTTTTTAGAAGGTATTAATAACATTTTTATATTACTTTACATCATATTATAACCAATTCCATGGCGTTTGTTCTTTTCACTCATTTGAAACTGTCCAGTTATTTTTCTCCTTTACAACAATGCTTCCTTCTTTAGAAAAACTGTCAGCTAAAAGCCAACCGGGTGAAGTTGACTTGTTCTTTCCTTTTAGATGCCACGGTAACAGAAGGAGGTGAAAACTTCAGCCAGGGTCAGAGGCAGCTGTTCTGTCTGGCCAGAGCCTTCGTGAGGAAGAGCAGCATCCTCATCATGGACGAGGCCACTGCCTCCATAGACATGGCGACGGTCAGTGTGAGGTTGGAAGGAGTGCCTCTCTGAGGCAGAAAGAGGAGAAAAGGCACAAAGGAAGGGAGGAGCAGGAAATGAGAAAGCTGGAGATGGAGTGGGAGAAGGAAATTAGAGTTCTCTGTTTATCTGCAAACATGAAGATGTCCATGATCCGACACTTGAGACTCATAAAAGTGTGTTTGTGGAGTGATCTGTGGTTTAATCTGATGCTTTCTGATGGTAGAAGAGGGTGAAAAGGGAAATGGGAGTATAGAGGAGAGTGTATGCATTAAGCTGGAAGATTTAAAAAAAGATCTGAGTGTAGTGAGAGCCTGGGGGAGCTTCAGGTCATCCAAGTATCCTTTAGTTGGATGATCAGGCACAAAAGAGTGCAGATTCAGACAATAACGCAGCAGCAGAAGCCCTCGAGGAGACAGACCGCTTTTAATAAGCAGCAAGAGAGCAGACAGGGTGAAAAAATGAGCTTTAGAGGCCGATTTATTTGCTCTAAGGTAAAATGTGTTTAAACATTTTTATGTTAGAAGATAAAATCATTCCTTACTCGTCTTCTCTCTGCTTTCCACAGGAGAGCATCCTGCAGAAAGTGGTGATGACTGCTTTTGCTGACCGGACAGTAGTAACTATAGCAGTGAGTATCACTTCCTACACTGCACCAAGCGCTGTGGGCATTTACGTTTCCCCCCCTCCCAGAGAGATGACCTTTCGTCCTGCAGTGCTGATGTGCAGTAGTTCTTGTAAACTGAGGCTGCAAATTAGCAGCAAATGATGAGGAAAAGTACGACACGGCAAAAGAGAGCTAATCCCAGAGCTATCAGGGTCAGGAAGTTAAGGTCATGATTATTCACTTCAGCTTTTTATTAAGAAGTTTGACCTGAAAATGCTAGTTTTCCACTTTACCATGAGCTGAAGCCACTTTAATGACCTACACTTGATGCCAAACCAAATCACATCATCTGAGCGATACCCAGCATGTCAGTTTGACTACATCCTGTCTCCTCCGCTTCCTATCCACCACTCAGCATCGAGTCCACACCATCCTGAACGCCGACCTGGTGATTGTGATGAAGCGGGGGATCATCCTGGAGTACGACACCCCTCAGGCCTTGCTGGACAGGGAGGACAGCATCTTCGCCTCCTTTGTGCGGGCAGACAAGTAGAAGCACAAGAAGAGCTCCAGAGCATGAAAGGAAGACATTCAAAGTGCAATTGTTCCATGGAATGTACATATATATTGCCCTTTTTTATTTTTTAAATCATGTATTATATTTGTACATAAATACATTAATTCTTTATAAATAAAACATAAATTATGTGTTTGGATGGATTGTTGCCGGAGGGGAACCCAGATGATGCAAATCAGCTCCTGAGGTAAATAACCTGGAGATGAGGTGATGATCCCGTATTCACCCCTTTGTGTGATCAGAGTATGAGCTGAACGTATTTGGTGAGGCGTGTTTTGTTTTTATTTTAGCCTTTTTTACGCAGACCTGCTATCTTTCTGCGCCATGTCGACTGAAAGGGGCGTGTTGTTTCTGTGCCTTTGCGCCAGCTGCAGATGTAGTAACTGGAGAATGATGCATTTCACGTGGGATCTGTTTACAGAAGACAGGTGCAGCGCAACTAGACATCTTCCGAGCTGCGTAATTGCGCGATTGTTTTTAAATGCCAATTTATAAGCACCGCAGACGGACGGTGGGACACAGGGACTGCCTCTCCACCCTCACGTCTCCATCTCACGTTACCGAGATGTAGTGAAGCGGCGAGGCCATAGCAGAACCCAACCGCGACATAAGAGCCTCCCTCCTCCTCAGAATGTGATAAAATACGCTCGGGGGGCAATTACGCGCCTGCGCGATCGTTTACTTCGCCGAATCTCCTTTTACCCAACAAGTCAACGACGGGGTGCGCACCTGCGCGCGGGCGAGAGGGTTGACTATGGGGCTGGCAGCGAGGCTCTACCATGTCTGCTCGGTCAGTCGGTGCTGTGAGTGACGGCGGCAGCTGCGAAGCTGGAGGAAGAATCCTCTCATGGGACAGTCCTGAAGCGCAACGTGAGGAGCGCACATACCTCCAGAACACGGATGACATCAAGACTCTCCCCGCTGCGCCCGACAGCTGACACCGCCGAGGGCCGACTAGGCTCCGGGAGAGGAGACGGGTCCACCTCCAGCCAGGCGGACACTTTTAAAGCCTAGGTGCTGGGCGCATAGCATGGGAGCGCAATGTTATCTAGAAAAGGACTCATTCCTGAAGATTACCTGCTGACACGCTTAGCAGAGGATGTCCAGCAGCCGAAATACAAGACTAAACAAGGGAAGGCTCGGTTCGTGAGGAAGAACGGCGCCTGTAACGTAGCGCACACCAACATCAGAGAACAGGGTCGCTTCTTGCAGGACGTGTTCACCACTCTGGTGGATTTAAAATGGCTCCACACGCTCATCATCTTCACCATGTCCTTCCTGTGCAGCTGGTTGCTCTTCGGGATGATCTGGTGGCTTGTTGCCTTTGCGCACGGCGACCTAGACCAGAAAGGAGACGACTTTGTCCCGTGCGTAACGGACATCCACTCCTTCTCCTCTGCGTTCCTCTTCTCCATAGAGGTCCAGGTAACCATCGGCTTCGGGGGTCGGATGATCACAGAAGAGTGCCTCTCAGCCATCATCATCCTCATCCTGCAGAATATCGTTGGACTGGTCATCAACGCCATCATGCTGGGGTGCATCTTCATGAAAACCGCGCAGGCTAATAGGCGCGCGGAGACGCTCATCTTCAGCAAGCACGCGGTCATCTCCCTCCGAAACAACAGGCTCTGCTTCATGATCCGCATCGGGGATCTGAGGAAAAGCATGATTATCAGCGCCACTGTGCGGATGCAGGTGGTCCGGAGAACCACCACTGACGAGGGGGAGGTGGTTCCTCTGGACCAGATCGACATCCACATGGATAACCCGGTGGGCACCAACGGAATTTTCCTGGTGTCTCCCCTCATCATCACCCACGTGATCGACAAAACCAGCCCTCTCTACAATCTGTCACGCGACGACCTGGAGCAGCAGGACATCGAGGTGATCGTGGTGCTGGAGGGCGTGGTGGAGACCACAGGCATCACCACGCAGGCCAGGACCTCCTACGTGTCAGAGGAGATCCTGTGGGGGCAACGCTTTGTGCCAACAGTCTCCGAGGAGGACGGCATTTACGCGGTGGACTACTGCAAGTTCGGAAACACGATGAAAGTCCCGACTCCGTGCTGCAGCGCCAAGGAGCTGGAGGAGGCAGGAGACAGCGCCAGGTTTAGCCTGAACGAGGGCGCCACCTCGCGGACGTCCGTGAGAAGGAGGCGCAAAGCCTCGGTGGTCCGCAAATCCAGGATGGAAAACAAGTGATGCAACAAGTCTGCCGCACTGAACAGCTTTAAAACATTATTTAGTAAAGCATATTTATTTACAGCATTTAAAGCATGGATTAAAAATGTTTACCTCAGGTCAGAGAACACTGGTGTTAAGTAGCCCTGGTATCCAGAGTGAATGCTCTATTTTACAATGAGTGATGCATGAATTTAAAATTAATACAAGATATTGTTTAAATTAAGGGAAAACCACAAAGTTTGGACATTCACAGGTGCAGAGAGAATTCATTCATGAACTTTTGTATTTGAATTTTCTGTGACTTTATACTTTTTACTCTACGTGCATCTTTGGAATATGTAAGTTAGAACAGCTATGCAAAATAAATGCACAATACAATTAAGTTACATGAATAGTCATGCAAGAATCATTTGGATCCTTGTTGGGCAACTAAATGCAAATATTTAAATTCCTCATGTTGATGAAGTTAACTCTAAGGCAGGGGTCGCCATTCTGGTGTTCATGGGCACCATGGTGCCCCCCAGAGCCCTAAAAGGTGCCCTCAGGCCTGTTATAAAACTAGTTAAATTCACCACTCGGGTTTAAAATACTATTTTCTGCTGCTACGATTTTAAATTAGTGACAGCGAGACAAAATGCATGCATGTAAATCAGAGGGACATAAGTGAACCGGTGATCTGACATCAAATAGAAGTAAAGGTTAGGGTCTCTGGTCCAAAGCAACATAGAGGGTGGAAACGGGGCGGAGAAAACCGTCCTTTCAAGAATGAAAGGAAAGGTGTAGAAGATAGTGAGACCACCCACCGTCTGGTTTAGAAGTTCTCTTTGGGAGTGACGAAGATAAATAGTATCAGAAATGAGTCCATCAGAGAGACAACTCATGTTAGATGTTCTGGAGATATAGTCAGAGGACAGAGTGAGACGGTTTGGACATGTCCAGAGGAGAAATGATTATATACTGTAGGTAGAAGGATGCTGAGGTTGGAGTCACATGCAGGTTGAGAGGAATACCAAAAAAGATATTTATCAAGTTTGTTGGTGTGAGAGTAAAGGATGCAGAAGATGGGACTAAATGGAGACAAATGCTTGGCTGTGGCGACTGCTAAAGGGACAAGTCTCAGTTGCGTTGATGTAGATTGGGAAGTTAAGTTGAACTCAAATCCAGTGCTTCCTCAGTCACCTCGAGAATCAGAAACCTGCAAAAACTCAACGAGCTTCTGCTTTCTAAGCACATCTTCGTTGGCCGAGAACTTGCCCTCGGTTCACGGTGGCCGAGTTCTCCGTGGACATTTAATCTGTAAGAGTCGTGTGACCATAAAGACACGGAGACAAGGTGGCATTTCTCTTTTATTAGATTATAATCTGCAGAGCTTAAAATATTTAATTGCTTTTAACTTAGTTATTAATTAAAATACATAAAAATGAGCCAGAACTGAGGAACCCTGCAAAAAAAATTTAAAATAAATAAAATAGGAGAATCATAAATCCAATCCTCCTCTAAACAGAGGCTATATCTGACGGAACCCACTTGTGATTCTTTGTACAGTAAAGTCCAAGCAGACTGTGCATTTTCTATACATGTGTGACAAGGTTCATATTTCCAAAGCAACTTTCCTTTGATGATATTCTTGAAAAAAAAAAAAAGGAAATTTAAAGGGTCTGGTAAAAAAAAACAACCTACGATTCGAACAGGAAGTGACTGTTATACAGCAGAGCAGCTTCACCGCCGTCCCCACCCCTCCGATCCGTCTCCGACCCTCTGGGCCTGCAGACATGACCTCATGTCTTTGTCCTTCTGTGCTGCTGGAGCGGGTGGTGGTGGCTTAAAGGGGGCTGCTGCTGTGCTCAACACAAACACACAGCTGTGACTCGTCCTAAATGTGCACCTCTTTGCTCTCTGATCAGATTAAACATCTAGAATACAATCTGAGGCCTTCTCCACATGTCTGCTGCCCCCTACAGGTAGGTAGTGGGACATGTTCGTTGGGGGTGATTATGTGAGTCTAGTGCGGTTAAACACAACCAGCGTTGAAGAGAATGAAAGTGAGAGGAACTCCTCTCTGGCAGCAGTGACTTATTCTCTCAAGTCCTGAGTAGGAAACGCCTCAATCATCCCACACATAAACAACCCAAACAGTGATTGGCTAGCATCGCCCAGTTGGGCAGTAACGTGGCTCCCTATTGACCATCGACGTGGCCTTGCACCTGCAGGCGGTCTCCGAGGAGGACGAGCCAGCAGGTGAGCAGGGACACCTCTTCTCCACACCTGAGCTACAGACAGCAGAAGCAAAGCAGAGCCCCGTTTCCTGTGCTGCATGTTAAGAGGGCAGACAGAGGTGGACACACACACACACACACGCGCACGCACGCACGCACACACACCAACAAAATCCAACTGAATAAAACTTCCAACAGAAATAAGTAAAAATAAAATATACACATACTTTCTTGTTCCTAGTTTAAATTGCAGAGAAGATGGGAGGGATTTGTCCCTGGGAGGAACGCTCACGCCATTTCCTGCTGGCGTGACAAACCCCTCCCCGCCATCCCAAACCTGCAGAAAACCCTCCCCCTCTTTCCTTCTAGCTGGTCGGTCGATGTTGTGGCGAAACATGAAGGAAGGTCTCTTAAATCCTGCTTGCACCAAGGAAGAGGGGCCAAGCTTTTCTTCTCTTGTCTTCTATCACCCCCGGAGCCGCCGCCGCGACCCCCCGTTCATCTCTCCGTCACGTGGTTTTGTGAAGAAGGAGGGGGTGCCGAGGCCGGGGTGGAGGGGGCTGGGACAGGTGCGGGGAGAGGCGCCGGATTGCAGAGGATTTCAGACAAGTCGTCCATGATACAGGTCTCCTTGGGGTCGATCAGGTTGAACTCCCTTACGAAAACGATGAAATGTGCATACAGAGTGTTCAAGTGGCCCTGCAGTTCCAGAGCCACCGTCTCCTTAAAGTGCGCCCAGTAGAGGTGAGCCAGCACGTGGAACAGGTACCGGCAGATCTTCTTTACCAAGGACTCGAACGAGTTGGGGAACTCTTTGCCTGAAACAAAGAAAAACAGCAAACAAAAGCAGGCGGGAGAGTTGATGAGGTCAGTCGTGTCAACACACCCTGGCTAAAATCATCTCTGGTGACCAACCTCTGCTTTTACAAAACCCTTAAAACTCAAAAATCAGTGACATCCTCACTCACTCCTACACCTGAAGCAGCAGGGGGCAGCGCTGCACCGGTCTGAGCGCTCAGAGACCCCTTCACTCACCATATTTCGTAGGAAAGATCTCCTCGTCAGTGACCAGCTTCTGACACAGACTCATGACAAAGTCGACGTACTGCGGAGCAGTGCACTTCGTCTTCTTCCCCCTCTCATCATACCAGTAGTATATTCTAGAAAATACAGACAGTCAATCATTTACACCGAAGTACCAAAATGACATCTGAGCCCGACAAGAGAACAATAAAGTTTATTTCCCAGAGTTGGAATGCGACTACTACAGGAAGATGATAAATGTTTCACTTTTGAAGCATCACCCGAGTTGTTTCCTTATGCGGAGAAACACCAGATGGCTTTTTATGATGAAAAAGCCACACAGGGTCAAGGATCAGTGCAAGAACATGAGCCTTCACTTCCCGATTGAACCGAGTCCCCTGCTTTTGAAGGGACGCCGTCCCTGGGGACATCCCGGACGCTGCTCTAACACGTCCATGCTGGCAGACCCACATAAACAGACCGTGAAGAGGACTGTTGATTTGCAAAAGGTCAGTCGGGGGGGCTCCTGAAGCTCTGAGCTCATGAGGTGTGTCAGAATGACGCCTCTCAGAGTAAAGACTCCAAAGCGCTTTACACTACAGTGTATCATTCACCCATTCACACACACATTCACACACTGGTGGGGATGAGCTACGATGTAGCCACAGCTGCCCTGGGGCGCGCTGACAGAGCCGAGGCTGCCGAGCACAGGCGCCACTGGTCCCTCCGACCAACACCAGCAGGCAAGGCGGGTTAAGTGTCGTGCCCAAGGACATAACAGCCGGGATCGAACCTGCAACCTTCCGATTACCGGACAACCCGCTCAACCTGTGGAGCTACTGCTGCCCCCTGGTGTCAGAAGACACAACAGAGGTGGCAGAACGAGCAGATTTTCAGACAGCGGAACCGGAATAAGTGTCATCTGAACGAGCTAGACCGTGTTGTTCAGCAGGATTGTTAGACGGAAGAAAAATATGAGTGCAGGTATGACTCGAAGGGAGGGGGGTTGTTTAAACACGCCCAGAGGAATGTTAAGAGCACAAATAACTGACCCTGCAGGAGGTGACCCCCTGACCCCAAAACACTCGCTCATCCACTGAATAAACTACAAGACTTCATTTAAAACATTCTCACACCCAGCTTGTACAGAATTAAAACACCAGCAGACACCGCCAGAACCCCCAACCTCCCCCTGGAAACGGGTCTCCTAAAAGGTTCTGTTCCCCTGAAGCTTATGGAAACAGTTTCTTCCAAAAATAGCACTCCTCTCTGCGCCGCGGGCAGGAGCGCAGACGCCACTGCATCTGTGGCTCGGGCTCTTTTCAGCACAAAGGGGCGGGGGTGCAGGCAAAAGGGGCGGGGCGCTGCACAGAAGGTGCACTCCTAACTGGAACCTTGTGCTATAATCTTTGAAATTTGGAGGCGAGTAAAGACGCAGAACAGACTTGACACTAGTTCAACTCCGTTTTCTTTTCGATGATGTCATTAGGTCCGATTTGCACGGCTGGATGCGCCAAGCAAACAAAAACACGTTCACGTGCTCGGATGGCTCCTGAGCGGTGTTTTCCTTTCCACTTGTCTCATGGGGTGTGTAGGAGCAGCTTCAGGTGACAGCAGTGGAAAAACCCACTGTTGGCTGGGAGGATTACTAGTTAGGCTTCTTTTCACAGCAGAGCTCTCACCATCTTGTTCGTCACCAACTCTGTTGTCACATTTCTTCCTGCTCTTTTCCCTCTAAAGTCTGCGTGCGGGCGAGCATTTGCAGACCGTTTAATGCGTTTCTTCCACCTGCAGATTGTAATTTGCTAGGAACTATTCAGAGAGTTTAGAACGGGGCGGTTTATCGGGTTTTACCGAGCTCAAACCCAAAGAGGGCTTCTCTTTAGAGACAGCACCACACCCCGACAGGGAAAACTAGTTAGCTAAATACTTAGTCGCCTCCCTCTAGTCATGACCTATAAATAAACGAGCCGATTTTGACTAACAAATTAAAGCAAATGTTTAGTTACATTATGTCTGTTTGAGAAAATGCCCCAAAAAAATGGATTTAAACAAATTTAAAACAAATGAACCCATTTGACATATTTAGAGGTTGGATTCAACGCTCCCTGACAACTTATAGCGCTCCTTCGTGATCCGAGCAAAGGGCAACAACATTCCCGATGAATAAACCAAAGGTTGGCGAGTTATAAATAAGGCACACCTGTGTGAGGTAACTTACGTGCTACAGGCGGTCATGGCTTGACAGGTGTCCCCGGTGCAGAACTCTGAAATGGTGCTGTACTGCAGGTTGATAAGATTGAAAAACGTCGTCGCTGGAAGACAGATAAGAGACACGCATCAAAGCCTGGCATCAATGACGGGAGGAAAATAATCAGGTCAAATATCTGAGTGTGAACCGTCACCGCCTGATCAGAAACAATAGAATCGTAGTTGCGTAATTAAATTCTAAGATGGTTACAGCAAAAAAAAAAAATAAATAAAAATCAAAAGGTGACTGCAGGAAATATTTAATACAGATGAAACCTTAGAAAACGTCTGCAAAGAGGAAAAGTGATGCGCATGTCAGATGTGTGAAATGTAGGTTTCTAGTCGGGCGGCATTCCTGCTCCCAGCTTACCACCCAGGGAGATCCCCAACGAAAAGTGTTGCTTAACTCGATCATTCCAGAGCAGCGAACAAAAACTAAATGTAGAAAAGACTATCCAGAGGTGTCATGTTAAACAGACGCTTAGAGCAACATTCTATTCTTATTAGGGTAAAAATGACTGCAAGCACCTCACCGGTTTGAGAACGTAACGAAAACAAATCCAAGGAAAACAGAACCCCTCGTGAGAATAATTAATCCCCAAGGCAGATGTGAGTTCACTAGAGTTGAGAAACGAAGCTCGTAATCTCACAGCTAAATATCAGCGAGCGTCGGTAAACAAACGTGTTAAAGGAGCCCATGTGTGGTGTTAAAGGGGGACGGTGCCAGGCCTGGGTACTGTTAAGGACCTGGATCACTTACACAGCTGGAATGTCTTGTTACCTTCGGATGACAAGTGCGTGCAGATTTTGGAAAACAATTCCAAACCCCTGCAGGAAATTACACAAGCTGGAGCACATGCTACGCCTGAAGGAGCAGTCCATTTTTAACGAGACTCGATCCCCAGTCCTCCATTTGAAAACGACACTGTTAAAATGCTCCGACAGGTAAAGAGTGATGATTACAGCTGTGGTTTCTACCAAAGTTTCAGCCACTCACTGTTGCTAGCCAGCCACTCGTTGAGGTCGATCTCTCTGGGCAGCACCACCAGCTCCTTCAGGTCAAAGTCCACCACGCGGATTTTTGTGAACTCCGTGTCCAAGTAGAGCTTCTTCTCCTCTGCAGGTGGCTTCTTTCCATTCGGCTTCGTCTTCGACTTCCTGCCAGACAGAAAAAAGGAAGAGGTTAGAATTTCTAAAATATGTTCTGTAAAACAAGAGTAAAAATGACAAGGACTGCGAATCGGGATCACAAGTAAAGAAGAAGGCAGAAATGAGTTTCCTCAGTTGGGTGGGCGGGCTCAGCCTTAAGGTTGGTTTATGCTTGACGCGTCCGCGAGGTCCGCACGGCTCCGCGCGGGAAAAGTTGCGTCATTTTAACAACCACGCCCCTCCACCGCGCCTCCGCACGGCCCAGAATTTCCGCAACGCGCACCTCGGAAAATTTCTAACCACGCGGACGGACAGACGCGGAAAAACATGGCGGACCGGCAAGAACTAGTATGGCAGAGGTTCGTAAATACAGACATTTGTATGATTCAGCTCTCAGAGATCACCGTGATCAACATGTAGTTAATAATTCTTGGAGAGAAATAGCTCGCACTGTCGGAAAAGACGACGCTGTTAAAAATGCTGAAATGCCGTGTTGTAAACAGTAATTTCTACTTCTACTATGGTGTAGTGTTGGATGCATGCTGTAGAGCTCCATGCTGCCCCGTTCAGTTTGGGAGAATATTGGCTCACCGCAGAGACGAGCCGCATGAACCATAAACGCTGCGAGTTGTGAAGCGCGTTCCATCCGCGAGCCGCATCACCGCACGGAAAGTGAATGCGTCAAGCATAAACCAAGCTTTAGAGGTAGACTGAAGAGCTCAGAGGTTTGGGAGAGGCTCAGAGTAGAGCTGCTGCTCCTCCTCGTCAAGAGGAGCCAACTGTCACACTGGTGTGTGAAATTTGCTTTCCACATTTGACCCATCCCCAGGGGGAGTGATGAGCTGCAGACTAGGCCATGCTCGGGAACCCTTTGGTGGTTTAATGCCCCCAATCGAATCCCTTAATGCCGAGTGTCACGCAGGGAGGTCTTTGCTATGACCCGACCATGGATTTGAACCCACGATCCCCCAGTCTCAAGGTGAACACTCAAAACATTAGGCCACTGAACTGGTTCGAGGTGGTTTGGGCATTTGGTGAGAATCTCTCCTGGACGTCTCCCAGAGGAGGTGTTTCAAGTACGTCCGGTCGACAGGAGGGCCCCACGGTCGACCGAGGACATGTTGGGAGGGATCAGAACTCCACGTTAGCCAGGTGACGCTGGGGGATCCTGCTACTGGAGCTTCTCTGGGAAAGGGCGGTTTGGGTCCTTCTGCTGGAGCCGTTAACCCCGCGACCTGGATAAGTGGGTAAAAACAGACGTTTTCAAAAAGAGGGAACTTAAATCTCACAGACTTGTCTGTGTCTGATCACCGTTGCTGACCTCTGACCTTACGTCAGCCTTATAGCTTCCACCCAGACACAGTCTACAGGGCGTTGCACTTCCAGTGTTAGTTTTAGAAAGAGGATGTCATATCACACCGCCCCTTCACTTCCAGGGCTGTATAACCTCTCCCCCTACTCCCATCTCCCGTTGGTGGTGGCAGCAGGTCAAAGGCTGAACACCTTTACATAAAATACAGACGAGTGCAGCCCCTTCCCTTTTTATCCAGATTAATCACAACATCTCTACTTCCAGTCCTCCCAACAGCTCTAGTTTCCTTTAGACCAACCAGCATTATTCCACTGCTGTTTGGGAATTTTGGGACAAGGGAGTTAGATTCTTCCTCCTGAATTTACTGAGCTTCTGTTGACCCTCATTTCCAGCCTCCATGCTGTCATCCACTCTAAGTCTCACTCTCTTGTCTCCAATTAAAACTCACTAATAATCTTTATTTATTTTTGGTTTTAGTCTCCCAACTTTCTGGGTTTGACCAAGTACGTGAAAAGTATCTTTGCAGGACTTATCCGTAATTTACAACATTACAAATTGGCTTCCAATGATGGAATTAGATGGGAGGGACGGAAGGGGAGAAAGGAACAGAAAGGGGCGTTAGATTGACTCGGGTCCAGCTGATAACCATGGGAACTAATAAACACTCTGAAAACATGACGGGCCTGAGAGGCACGAGGTGTCTCAGCCAGAGGATGGTGTTCACAAGCTCCGTGGAGTTTTAGTTCTCTGCTTTTCACTTCAGCTGACAAGGGAGGTCCCGTCAGCGTGTAGACGGAAACAGAACCGGGAGTCTTCCTTGATAACATCTAAGACCTCTCTGGTCAGACGATGTGAATTCCTGCAGCATCCCAGACTGAAACTCCCACAGTTGCACAATCACAACACCTCAGCATCACTTCGGTTCTGGTTCATTGTGTCATGATTTCTCAAGGCTGCAGCTGAGCTTGTTTCGTCCTCGATTAAAATCCAAGGACACACCAGAGAAAACGACTGGCTAATCATTAACAACCGTTTCCTTTCTGTTTCACCTTCTCTGCTCAATCTTTAACCTCGTCTTGGAAAAAAAAACTTCTTCCTTGTTTTTGTTGGAAAATCTCATTGTTCAGGGTGAAACAGCCCCAGAATCTTATCTCTGAATATTTTCTGCCTGCTGGTAAGGGCACAGATCCATGTGGTTGGCGCGGTTTTTCGACATGAGCAACATGTGCCGTCGTGTGAAAAAGCTTTACCCACGGAGAGCGTCATCCGCAGATGCCGTCAACTCTCTAACTTTGCTACGCCTCCTGGAAAAACTGACCGACTCCTAAAAGATCCCTTTGAAAACATTTTGTTTCAGCGAGCCATTTCCTGCCCTGCTCTTTTTACACTTTCGTAAATTTCTGCACAAACGCCTCCTTCTGCAGAACTTCTGCGTGGTTCATCATTAAAAAGGAGGTTAAATTCTAAAGTTACTTATTTATCTTTGCGTGAAGAAAACTTCCTCATCTACACATGGCTCCTCTGACACACACATGCAGTTCTCAGAGGAAAAAGTGATACCATAAAAGGCAGCAGATGTTGCTTTCTTCCCACCAGATCAGGGGCACACCAGGACCAGCCACAAGGCAGAATCAGAGGCTAAATTAGACCTAACTACTGGGGGAACCACAGCCTGTCTGGAACCAGGCCTAAGAGTGATGTAATGTCTAAAACTGACTTCAGAACAGCTCTTATCTGAGTTTATATAAGGAAATAGGCTTGTGAATGTGAATGTGGAGTCGAAGCAGTAAGGCTGCAGAGTGACCACCTCAACAGCTGTTCAACTCTTCGTCACTTTTACCCTTTCGCTGTTCCCAGGAACAACCTCCCCCACCGTCCAACGATCTTCATTTACTACCTTTCCTCTTTCACTCACACACGCGCACACGCACGTACACACACACACACAGAGGACACTGCCTCAAGCATCCTTTCAGTTTTCAAGGCCGATCCAGCTGGTGTCAACAGCTGTGTCACGAACCTGATTGAACCAGACGCCGCGGGAGAAACGGAGAATAGGCGAGCTCTGTCCGGTTTGGGTGTTTGTTTCTGCACGCCTGCGTCCACCAAGACTGTGCAAACAGACAACTGCTTCTAGGCCTCAGACTGGTGCAAATATTAGTGGCTGTGTGCTAAATGAACCAAGAAGACTTCTAAAAACGAGCCAGTCTACAATCCGGTCTCGTTAACAGAACCTGGTTCCAATTAACCCTGGAGCCGCAAGGGAACGCATTACACACCGCCTCTGTCAGTGCGCCCCAGGGCAGCTGTGGCTACATCGTGGCTCATCATCACCATCAGTGTGTGAATGTGCGTGTGAATGGATGAATGAAACACTGTAGTGTAAAGCGCTTTGGAGTCCTTACTCTGAGAGGCGCTATACAAGTGCGGGTCATTCATTCACACACAGCTACGCTAACGAATTAGCTCAAATGCTTTCTTAGAAGTACAACAATTTACTACAAAACAGCCGTCACTTCCTCCGCTCAGGCACAAACATCAGCCCTTCAGTGAGGCTGTGCTCGAAACACGCCGATTTTCCATAACTCACCATCATCTCCATTAAGAATCCACCAGCATTCCTGCATGAAAACCATTGTTTTTTACTGGTTCCTGCTGTGATGTTAAAACACAACTGTTTAATAACCCCATGTAATGACCCCCCCCCCCCCCCCCGAAGCCGATGGCTCCTGCCAAGCCAGAAGTTGCACAACAGTTCCCTAAATTGTTTGTTTGTATTGCAGAGAGAATAACTATTAACATATGGATGCAGTCGATGTGATCTCCAACAGTGAAAAGCTGATGAAAACAAACCGCTGTGTTCTCTCAGCAACTTTATGACGAGATTGGAGAGGTTAGCTTCAACTTGTTCCTCTTCTCAAAAAGAAATAAACCATAATAAAAAGTATTCCACCACACTGATTAGACATTTAAACCAGACGCATACATGTTCCCCTTTTTTCATCAGTAAGCGTAGGAAACAAAAGGTTTGATGTGAGCCGGATGTTTCAGACCCGTCTGTTTCTTCCAAGATCCAAAGCCTCTTTCCCCCTAAAAACCACAAATGGAGGAAATGGCAGTCTGAGCAGACCCGAGCAAAACCGCAGCAGCAGCGGGGGCTAAAAAGAGACACGGCTAGCAACAAGATGAACATTCAGCTGGGCCACGTCGCTGTAGGAATCGTTTCAGAAACTAAACTAAAATCTTGATTTTTGCCTTAAGAGGGTTAAAAAAATACAGTACATTAGAAATGTAGCCATGTAGGAGTACAACACAATACCACAGTAGCTCTGGCTTGTTTATCTTCCTCTTCCAATCTCCTGCTTAATCCCATTCATTGACTCTGAGGGCCAACTCAGTACAGAAGGAACTCCCCACTGCTAGCATCATAATGGAGCCTCATCAGCATCACAACACTCACGTATTCAAGCACGGGGGTCTGCGATGCCACAGTGCAAAACTGCTGCTCAACAATGCAGCAAATGCCAACACGATTGGCTCTTTTATTGACAGATGAAGAGAATCTAGCTGTAAAAGATAATATGATGGATAAACGTGCTGCTGTAACAAGTGAATTTCCCCACAGTGGGATTAATAAAGTCTACTCTAAAACCTAAACGGGTGTTTGTTTAATCTGGTTGTGTAGGTTTTTCCTCCA